TGTCCCCCATAAAAACAACGCACATCACAACATCATAAACAATTATCATAATGATTAAAAGAAAAAAAAAGAAAAAAGTATTATTATAGAGTGTAGAACTCTGATGAATCATGCTACAATTTAGCACAAATTATTAAAAATTACAGGCTGGTGGTATTTAACACTATGTGTTAAACCTAACTCCCCCACCTTGCTTTTGTGTATTTGGCTGTGGCACAGTGAGAGCCATGGCTGTAAAAATAAAAATCACCACATCCCCACTTTATGTATCTGATACTCTAACGCATTTAGCGTGATTTGCAGCAACTTTAAAACATTACATAACTTTTTAGAGCTGGGTATTGGTGATTTGTCTCTGGAATAGGTGGAAGATTTGGTATGTCTTTAGTGCTAAACAGTAAATTCTGCAAGATGCAACAGGAGAACGGTATAAAAAATAGAGCATTTACTAGGCATTAACAGTGACTGACCTTGCCGAAGTAATGAGGAAACTTCTGTTCATTTTCAATAACATGAGCGAACCCTCCCTGCAGTCCAAAGTCCACAGCAAAATATGGCAGACCTCGAGGGACCTAAAAAAACATTATTATAATCCAATAAAACACAATATAATGCGTATAATTGAAGAGGTCTTACAGATTGTCGGATGTCTTTTGAAGAAAGGTCAACAATCTTCTTGTTCATGGCCCATTCCTCATCACACTCCATGATAGCTTTCTGCAACAGATCAAAATAAATATACCACTGAAACCTATAAATCAAAACAAACTCCAAAGTATTCAACGAATCTGACAGTTCCCATTGATGAAACATACCACACACAAACCTTAAAGTATATAGGCGCCATGTCACCCAGCTCTCGTGGTAGGGGAATACACTCAAGGACCATGTGTTGCCTTCTGCGCAGGTTCATGTGCGTCTCCATAAACACGCAGTCCAGTTCCTGAGACTCAAACATCTGAACCAAAGCACGTCGGAAGAGCTGCGGATAACAAGTCTAAATATGTGCATCTATCATGGCAGGCAAACGACAAACAGAGGATATGAAGCTCTGACAGGCAAACCTTCATTTCTGACCAGATGTCCTCATCCAAACTAGTGCCTGAGCAGTGATGCTGAAGAGGGCAGATGAGACAGTGGCCCTCGGTCATCGACAGGCCTGCGGGCAAGCTCAAATATACCTGCAGAAAAGGACACAAATTCAGACTATATATACCTGTTTTAACTAAAGTGATTAGTCAGTTTATTTGGTAATTTGCATAAAACTCAGATTATCAGATAGTTGTTTTGTTTCTTTAAATATTTAAGCAAAAATAAACAGTTTTGGCAAAAATTGAACTAGATTTAGTCTCATTTTTCTTAAAATCAATTACTTTTAGTAGTTATTTATCTGGCAAAACAAGACACCTACATATGCATTTTAAACATTTTCCATCTCAATCGACTGAATAGAAGAAACAGATGAACTGACAAAGTAAAGAGGAGGAGGAAGCTAAAATCACACATTCCTGCGAGCCAGAAACCAAAAGAATAGGTTGTATCACAGCTTGACAAAAGCTTGCTAACTCACAGCTTCCTTATAAAAAGAGGCAACATTAGCCATCCTTACTTTGCTGCCTATGGCCACTATAAGATGCTTCTGAAGGCCCTGGCTGCTGAAACAGTGCTGGCATCTGTCCATGGAGGAAGCCAGTGTCCGACTCTCTGCGACGGCTCTGTTCCTCATCCTCTCCTCCTCTCGGCCCTCGCCTTCCCGTTGAGCTGCACTTGACACAAACATGTCATCCAGTGTGTAGTTGTCGCCGTCTGTCTTTCCCATCATCTGGGGGGGGGGGTTTCAGAGAAACAGCGGAAAGGAGAACATGAATGAGAAAGGCAATAGAGGATTAATCATCCATCAAGAGATCTGGTGTCTTTTTTCATTGCACTAAACAGGAAAATATATATATATACAGCGGGTAAAATAAGTATTGAACACGTCACCATTTTTCTCAGTAAATATATTACTAGAGGTGCTAATGACATGAA